CGCCTCGACATTATTATGCCCCCACTCGCCACTTCTTATAAACAGAGTCTACTGCTTCTAGGCAGACTCAGACAACCTGCCAGAATCAATCGAAGTGAATCAATTGTAGCATTTGGCAGCACTGGCTCCGACGCTGATGTTCTCCTGATGTCTCCTGGGGTCGTCGAACGTTCGCCCAGAGGGTGCAAGGTGAGATGTAGGGGTGGCCTTGTACCCCCCGTAGGTACGATAATGTCCTGCCATTGCTGCTCCTAATCGTAACAAATTCCCTTGACTGATGCACGCGTGCGAGCACACACATACATATATTTATATATACATATATATATATACATATATATAAATATACATGTATAAGTACATCTTTAGAATGATTCCACTTCATTGAAGCGTCTCCAAGTGGGCATAATTACATGTCGTGTGGGTGCATGACCTCTTAATTTCTATAGAAATTCAATGTTATTTGTTGTTATTTATGTTGTTGTCGGTTGTTGTTCATCGGGAGTTGTTGTCTTGCCTTTAAGCAAGTATCGTTAAAGTTAACAGGAACTTAAAGTTCAACTCAACATAATAGATTTGCATATTTTAAGGCAAGTACAAGGAAAGCAAGCCGTCGAGTGTGCTCGTCCAGCAAATATCCTGTAAGCAGTGCGCATAAATTACATTAGATATGATACTCGACACTAGCGCTTGTTCCTGTTCTGCAGGGCATAAAAATAAATATCGTTAGAATTGTATGTAGTGACAGTCAGACTCTGGAAATCGCTCAAAAATAATTGCAATAAATGTGGTCCCATATTAAATAATTATAATTTTATCCTGAAGAATTAAGGAATTTGGTCCACCAAGGCTGAACAGGTTTGACATTTAGGTGTTCTTTAGTACAGGGTATTTACGTTTAAGTTTTACGTGATGTTTTCGCTTTTGTGCAGCGGTGACTGTTGTTGACAGGCTCCCAACAGGACGAACACAAAAGCCCTTCAAACTTGGCACCCATTAAATTGAGTTTTATATAGAGACGCCTGGCAGACCGGGTAACGGTTATTGAATTAAATGTCCTGTCTATCCGGGCAATTCTTCCTATCTCACTCTCACACACACGCTCTCTCCCTCTCTCTTGCTCCATCCAGCTCTTTGCTTGGCTTTTTGTTACTATACAGTAATTAAGTAACAATTTGACAATTAGTGAGCATATGAAATGAATATTATTTTTGGAATGTATGGTGCTTTCCAAATGTTGAGTCGTACTAACTAGAGCCAGAACAAGTCATCGGACATTGGACAAAGGGTTTGTTTTGCTATTGTAATGGGTTCATTTGCAGAACCACAGGCGAAAAGCTCTCGGTCAGCACTAAGTCGGCAATGTCTCAAGTGCCAGCTAATTAATTTACTATTTAAAAGCAGAGAAAACTCATTATTTAACCAAATTAAATAAATTCGTCTCAATTGTCACGGTTGCCAGTCGAAGTAATGTTTCGTAATCTACTTAGTTTGAGTTGGAGTCCTAGAGTTAGTTGCAAACAAGTTTGAATAATTTTCTTTGGGCTGGCAAAAAATGTTTTTATTGTAATATAATTCTACTTAAAAATATATATAATATTACTGTCCACTTTTATTATTTGTATAACATGTTTTCGTTCTATACAAAATATTACGCATACGCCACATAGGACGCATTTTGAAGTACATTCCTTGAGGGCACTTCTCATTGCGTTAAGAGAGAGAACATCTTTCACTTTAGAGTCTAATGTAGTTTTTCGAGATAGAAAAAGAACATTTCAAGCAGATTTGCTTATTTTCTAACACAAAGCACACATAAATATAAAACTATGCACTAGAGCTCTACTGATGGAAGGAATATGACATTGTTTCTTAACAGTGTTTCTTTTATAATTGCTTCGCATGCGAGAATGAACTGTAGCAAGACACAATTGCTAACTAAGTAGCTTTAAATAGTTTCACGTTTATCAGCACTAAAAGGCGTAATACACTGCTTCACTAAACAAGCAAGAATGCCCGACTTGTAGATACCCTTTACTCTCAGTAGTGGAATAGCTTCGCAGCTGAAAGTTTATTCTAAATGGCATAGACAAGGTATTTCAGATATATACCAAGGCGAAAGGAAAGGCGTCTTGAATTGAATGCTATTTCCGCAAATGTTTTCCAACAAAGTAAAGCCCAGTATGTGGCGTCACAAGCTGGGAACTGTTGCAGTTTAGATGGACCGGACGAGACTTTAAAATAATATGCCTGCAAGGGTATTTAATCTGCGTGAGCATGGCACTGGCTATTCGCTTCAGCTTTTTGTTATTTTTGCTCCGACTTAGAGCTTGTCGCTGCTGTTGCTTCTGTTGTTGTTATTGTTGTTGTTCTTGTGCTGTGTGGCAAGCTGGCAATACTTTCACGCAAGCTGTACGCAAAAGATAGCAGACGAGGTCGCCCCTATATGGTGGCTAGCGGATATGGCGGGTGTGGCATAGCCGAGGGCTTAAAACAATAACGCAATATTGCATGAGGCTGGACAGGCATTGTCATATTTTGATGGTTCCCTTGTTGCTGCATGTGTGCGTGTTTGTGTGTTTGTGTGTGTGTATGTGTGTGCTTAAGCGTGTGTGTGTTTAGTGAGATTTGGCTTAATTAAATTCCGGCACAAAAGGATTCCTTTAGCGCTTAAAGCTGTGCGCGTTTGGCGTATGTGGGTGTGTGGTCGTCTTTTTATGCCTTTTAACAAAAGTCTTAACGGCTTATTGCGGCGACACACATAAGCGCGCACACAAACACAGACTTATAAAGGAACTGAAGCCTTTGATGGCGCTCATAGATTTTAATTACAACTATAAATCATAGCGAAGCAAACAAACCCTTCGACTCATATTAATGACACACACACACTTACTCATACACACACATATGTCTGTGTGTAATTTGCCAACACTTTGGAAACTGGAGCCCATTAAAGACCCAACATACGTAAAATTTTCATTCTCAATGCTGATTACTTAACATTGTGGGCCATTGCCGCAGGCCGATGCTGGCCGGGATCGGTTCATTGTTTGGCCATTGTTCTTTGGTCTCTGGTCTCTATGCTCGTAATCAGTTGGCCCAAATTTACAGCCAGCCGGCACATAAAAGTTGTGCATTAAAAAAGTTAAGAGATTGTTAGTTAGTCCTTTCCCATAGCTGGCAAGCTGCCGAGGCCCGTCTGCGCTTCGTAACGCCCACTAGCAGCACCGCCAACCCTTTAAGCCTGACCCCATATACACTATTTAAGTCGCTGATTTGAGGGCAGGGCATTGGCACGGACATGCTTTATGGCGCCAATTTCATGCTTTATGGCAGCATTGTGGCCAAACTGAGATAATTGCGTGCGTTCAACCGTTGCCGATATGTGGACGCAACCGAAAGTTCCTTATAATAGGCAAACTAATACCCAGCCACACACAAACAATAGCAGCATGCAAATGAATAGAAGAGGCTCGATTTGAAAATTTGCTTGTGGTTTCTTTCGCAAGCAGGGTCTGAACGGAGCAGGCCGCCAATGGATACCCACAATATTTGGCTAGAGACAAAAGCGAGTGCAGAATGCTGGAGCACTGACCAACTAGTATATAAAGTCCGAACCAAAGCAGCCCCAGAGCGGAGGAGAGAGTCGGATGTTCCCAGGTGTTCTTAAAAGGCTTTTCCGATTGTTAATTTATTCGTTAAATGCCTGAGGCGATTGTTGTTCCTAGCCTAGGTGATCGCGGTGCAATTGAACTTATCAAGTATAACTAACAGCTCTCTATTTTCTTCTCAAATTCTTCTCTGACTCACTTTGTTTCTCTCTCTCTCTGTAGCTCTTTTTTCTGTCATTCTCGTTCCTTCACTTAATGATTATCTGTCCTGCGTATTGTAATTATCACCTCGTAAAGTTGACTTGCAAGTTTATTCCCACGGCATTGAGCCCAACACATAAACACGAGCAACTCCCATTAATTGCGTTGTCCTCGCAGGAATCAAGAACTCGATTATCATGTTGAAGCACAGCCCCGCCCTTCGCTTGTCAGTTAGTTAGTTAGTTTTTTAATAGGTTCTGCAGTGGAGTCGCACACATCAATTCCCAATTTCCCATTAAGCGGCCACCAAAAATCTCGGCCAGACTGGCGCGTGTGCTACATAAATTTGTTGATCTTTCGTGTTGTTGTTGTTGTTATTATTTGTAATTTCAGCACTTGCCACTTGTTTGTTAAGCATTTTAAAATCGAAAAAGCAGAGCTCGTCAACAACAGCAATAGCAACAGCAACAATAGCAGCAAAGGTCATGCTGTTCATTGTCCAGTGCTGCCCATTGTTGTCACTGTTGTTGTCGCTGTTGTTGTTACTGTTCTTGTTGTCGTTGTTGTCGCTACTGTTGTTGCTACTGTTGTCGTTGTTGTCGCCCTCAACCTAAAAATGAACGCCCACATCTGTCGCTGCTGTTGAAAGACAAGCCAAGTGGCATTTCAAAATGCCAATCAAGATACGAGCTCACAATTTACGATTAGCCAGCAAGGAGCAGCAGCAACAACAACAATAGCCAAATACAACAACAAGAACAGCAACAACAACAACAACAACAACAGCTGTATAATCTGAGTGCAGCTAAAGATTGTTAATATTTGGTGCCTTCGCTTTGCTTTCATTCTCTTTTATCTACCACGCAAATGTTGCAATTGAATTTCTTGCCATATTTCATTTAATTGAATTTCTTACAGACCCGCACGCCCTAAATTAACCCCGAGTATAGCCCGCAAGTGCTCTCGAATCGATATTGAGGTACTCACAAGTGGCTGCGTAATGAATATAATATTATCAAATGGGAACACAAATATTTTGGCTTACGACCCAAGTTCCGAACAGGACTTGGTAGATCGTTGTGTGTTTGCAATGTCTTTGAGTATATGGGTGCATAAATCTCAAGAATTAGATAAAACTTTCGGTTTTCACTTTGATTTGTTTTCAAGTTTCAATTTTATGATGACACTTACGTTTATACAAGTACTTGTCCTGCCTCGTGCCGGATACTCGAGTGCTTTTTAATGTAAGCTGGAAATACGTAAACTTTGTTATTTTCAGGCAGGTAGCTATAATTGAGTTTAAACTATAATTAGTAATTCATTTGGGCTATATTATTATTGATTTGTGCTGGGCCAGTAGCAGGCTGTCAGCCTTCAGCTTCCCTGTTCTCAACTCGTTTATCACGCATACGCCCGATTGGATGGCTGGCAGGCGGCTGATAAGGAGTGGCATTTAATCAAATCCATGCGTACATAGCACAAAACCGGGCCAGCAACGACCCACGAGGTCAGCAGCCCAGCTAAACATTTAATTTTGCTGCTACTTTTTTTATTATTTTATTTTTTATTTATTTATTTTTTTATTTTTTTTATTTACTTTTTTTTTTTTGCATAATTTTGTCACTTGCAGGCGCTGAGCTCGCGTTGATCAACAGCCCCGTTGACGATGAGTAATGTGCTGAGTACTTTGAGCAATGGGCTTGTGATAGCAGCCGGGGGCTCGGTGGTTCGGGGTCGATTTCTAATTTGTTTTCGGGTACATGCTGTCTAAAATGTTGAGCTCAAATAAATTGCAAAAGCCGCTGCTCAGTTTCGGTTTCAGCCCGCGCCGCGACTCATTAAATGTGAAGTAAGGTCAACTGTTTTGGGGGGACGGTAGCCGTTGCTAATTGCCAAAAGCTTTGGCCGAGCACCGCACATACATAAATATGCGAGACCCTTTCGCAAATGAGGGTCAATGCAAGGACATTCGAGTAAACATGCAACAAAAAACGGTCAAAACAATAAAACCTAAAAGAACACAACACCCAAGCTCTACACTCTGAGCCTTATAATACCTTGTACTTGCCCAAACCGGGCCCTTCGGGAGTGCAATGCACCGACTTTGGCCTCTTGCCTGTTGCCTGTTTCTTTGTGTTGACCGGACAGCCTCAGCAGGAGCAGCTGCAACTATATCAGAGTTTTTGCCTGCCTACCCACACAAATTACAATTCAGCTTTACGACTAACTATAGGCTACTCAGTAGATTGAAAGACTTTAACCTTGATTTCGTCTTTGTCTTTTTATGTCATGCAATCGCGTGATTGATTTTCTGGATTGTACCTTTTCATTTAATACCCTGTATGTGAAGAATGTTCAAAAGGGTATACTGAATTTCAAGAAATGTAATATTTTCAAATTATACAGATCTAAAATTCAATCTGATCAGTTAAATTTAACCATGGAATCCTCAAGCAGATATTGTAATACAGAAAGCTTGAGGCAATTCTCCTTTCAAGTGTGGAAAATTCGCGGTAAACTGTTTACCGGGTAGGTTGATTTCAAACTCATTCAATATTTATTTTAAATATAATTCAAAACGTGGAGCTCCAGTTATATGGATTTAAAGTGGGCCTTGACGGAAAATTCGTGCAAAGTCTTACAGTTAAATAATAAGTCATAAGGTTGAGCCGAAGAAGGCAAAGTTTAGTGCAAAGTTGAAGTTTAACATATATTACCACATTACTCAAACATTGCATCTAAAGCGCATACGTTTTAAATATAGGGTATATTCTAGTCAAGCACTCTGTATATCTCTTTGCATTTATTATACATATTGTCCTCTCTTTAATTAGCAAATTGACGTAGTTTTCGCCCCAAGCTAAAAATGTTTTACAGGCATAAATATATATGCCATTTTATATATATATATTTACGTAGACGTATGTAGGTATTTAGAAAAGTTGGCCGACTGCAGACAAAGTGTAAACACTTGAAGAACAAAACCAATAAATGCCAAGACTTTGTCCTGATTGTCGTCATTCAAGTGAGCTAATTAAGATTTTGTTTGCTTTTAGCTTGAGATGCGCTTCGTGTTGTCTATTTTTATTTTTATTTAATTGATAATATTAGCTTTATTAATATTAAAACTATTATTATTTTCGTCTTATTATTAAAGATATTATTAATTATTGTATTAATATTGTCAACATTTTTACTATAAATTTGTTCATTATTAGCTTAGTTATTATTTGATTCTATTGATAATTGATTTATTAATTTTGTATGAGGCATCTGATTAAAGTCGATCAGTTTAGCTGACTTCTATCGGGCGCTCACATTTTACGCTTGAACTCAAAATGTTGGCTCAGATTTGACGGCTGCAAAGGAAGGCACTTAATTTGATAAAAAATTTGCAATTTCATTGAAAATGGTGAGCGTAGTAATATCAGCATTGCGTGTCCCGCCGGTCTCTTGCTTTGATATGCTATGCCTTAACATGAAGTAATTGCACTCTCTCAACCGTAGACTGGACAAGAGGTCGCTGCATTATATTGAGGCTGGCAGCTAGACAGCACAACAGACAGACAGGCAGGCGGACAGGCCGACAGGCAGGCAGATGGACGGAGGACAGAGGACAAGTAACTTGGCCAGGGTGACAACATATCCAGTATTTTTTCCAAGGGCTGTCCAGGGGCTACTCAAATCTGTGTGCGCTGTAGATTAATATGCAGACTCTGCGATTTGATGGAGCAGTTGGGCAAACAGACAGACGAGTCTGACAAGTAAACAATTTCAATGAAAGGATATTAGGCGCCAGCACGCGCACATACACTTGGACACATGCGGATGCAGAGGCAGGAGCAGTAGCAGGAACAGGGGTGTCTGGCTAGTAGGGGCTGTCTGAAATGTCTATGGAAATCGTCTTGCATCTTCTGACCTGCTCGTATTAGCAACGTTTGACCAAACATTGCCTGGCATTTCAAACGTGTTAATAATACAATTTCATTTATCTGCCTATGTGGCACACGCAACATCACAAACGCATCACACGAACACACAAACACCACACACACACACACAGACACACACACACACACACACGCACGAGCGCTTCGTGTGTATGTAAATTGCGGCAAAAACGAGCCGAAAATTTACGATGCGTGCTGCTTACTATAGCAGGGAGTCTGGTCGAAAAAAATTTGTTGGCGTGTCTGACTATTTTTGAAAAGGGTTTGACATTTAACGTCCACACGTCCAGCACTTAGCTCCCCCCTCAGCCCTGACTAAGTAGCTGCTAGGCGGGGACGGGTGTTAGAGGCCAGTGCTGTAGCCAAATGACAAAACAATGTCTAAACGAGAGTTGAACGAGCAGCAAAGAAATTGACCAACAAAAGAAATATATATATAACAACAAAAATAAATAAAATAAAACAAAAATGGTGCAAGTATATGAATGAGTATGGGTGGCGGGAGGGTGGGAGGAGGAAGGGGGAGTGCGACCCTTTAGTTGGTCAGTGTTTTAAGCACACACAATCACACAATCACACATACACACACACACATACACACATCTGCATATGCAGCGCAAAGAAAATTGGGCACTAAAACGCACGAAACCTTTTTTGAAAAGCAAAATCTTTGCACAGTGGTCTGAAAACGTAAGGAAAGTGCGCATTGCGTTTGTATAAAGTAATATAACACTTGGATTTTTCGTGTCTTCAGAAAAGCTACTGCATCATCTAACAAAATTTTTAACAACATTTGCGACAAAATGCTTTTAAGATACACATAGTAAAATGCAACTTAGTCCAATGTGCTCTGTGCTTGTTGGTGGAGATCCAGAGCATGTTATACATTCATTACACACACGCACAATCAAAAAAGGTAAATGGCAGCGTCGGCCCTTTGTTGAATGTCTCAATTGATGCAAAGGCAAAGGCAACGATGCATATGCTTAATGTTTTATGCGTCCAGAGAGAAACAAACAAGAGAAAAAACATAGAATCAATTAAATAAAGAAATAAAGCAACTGTCAAAATCTGTTCAAAATAAAACACTTACTTTATTTATATTAAATCGAAAATCGTTCAAATCAATACCAAGGAAATTTATTCTCAGAAATATAGGAGAGTATAAATTATATGTCTAATGTTGTATTACTATGTTTATTTCAGACAATACGAATGCATATCGAATCCTACGGGCCAATTTGGAAGATAATAAGGCGATAAAAACGTGATATTACTGAATATTTGAGGTAAGTAAGCCTCATTTATTTTCTGCAAATTTATCTTATTAAAGAGGCCAGAGTACTTTTTGTATCCTTTCGAAGATTGAAAAGCGATAAAAACGCGATATTTCTGACAACAGGCCTACGTTAGCCCACTAAAATTATCATTTTTTTATCTGCCGCTTGATTGCGTGGGTGCGTGTGCTTGTGTGTGTGGGTGAAATGTATCCTTGCTTGATAATTTATTTGTATTGCGGCCATAACAATCAATGTATTCATTTTGGCACTGTGAAAGGCTTTTTGGTCACGCAATCATCCATATACAATGTCATAGGTGAATGCCGGTCTGATGTGTGGCATGTTTGGGGCGTGGTAAATGTGACAGGCTAAATTACACAACAGCATATTTTTGAATAGAGCAATTTGTATCTGTGCGCCCAGCGTAACGTCTCGGTCTCTGAGCCATCGTTTATTTTGCAATAATGCCAATAATAACAATGGGCGCGCGTTTGTTTGTTTGCCACTTGATAAATGAGATGCCAAGCGGGCAGGGGGCAGGAGACAGCAGACAGCGGGCTACGGGCAGTGAGGCGTAGGCTTTAGCTGCGACCCCAATGCTATGCTTGACCCTGTAGCCGATCCCCTTGCCCCTTTCCCAAAGGTGTTAACTGTCACGGTCGCATCGGTATTTGTATTACTTCTACTCTTATTGTTCACTCTCTTGTTTTCGACAGCGGCCCTGCCTTTGATTAAGTTGTTGGGCGTGCCCCAGTTAGCATCTGCTTGTCCAGTGGGCGGGCCGCACCAGCCACCAATCCATACATATATACATACAAATATATATATATATATATATATATATATATACATATGATACAAACATATAGCCTTAGAGCATACAACAACATGTCGCATTGGTCTAAAAGAAGGGCGCTGTCGCATTTCGACTCTGTGTGGCGAACTAACCAAGAAGATGAATGTATCGGATACTATAAATTAAGCTCATTGGAGCCTGTAGGTGACACGGAAGTCTCTCACTTGTTATTTCTCTCTCTCTCTCTCTCTCTCTCTCTCTCTCGCTCTCACCCTATCTTTTTCTGTTTCTATCTTTATCTCACACTTTGGCTTCGATAATCTCCGACATCATGCAGACAAAGTTAAGAACTAACTTTGTATCTTGTTAAGTCACGTAACTTTATGTAAGTCCACTAGCCTGGCCTTTGAACCCGGATCCTCGTTGGTTAATTGCCCAAATAAACTGGGTCAGTTAGACAACACATATATTTAAGTTTCATATACTGGGTACTTTTATGTAACTACTTATTCGTATCCATAATTTTAGCACTGTCAACTATTTAATAAGACCTTTCAATTTACAAAGTGGATTAGTATATGGTTATGTCTAGACATATAACAGACTATTTAATGCAGTTACCAAGAAATCCCATAGACAGTCAAAGTTTTAATATCTATAAATAATTGCCATTGAAATGATATGAAAAATAAAGCGATATTAATAAGATTATGCTGATGTATAGATTCAAAACATAGCGAAGCTTTTAGCTTCTGAATTTTAATGGCATGGCTTATCCTATGATAAGCTGAAACATAAAGTGAATTAATCAATTATTTAAAACTTAAAATAATTTAAAATAATTGACATATATTCAACTGCTAGCTGAGCAGCCTACTCACTAATTGTTGTCATAAAATATTAAGTAAAATAAGCTTCCCCTTAACTTCGTGTTAATTTGCTTTTTTGTTGACTGACTGTCGCTAAAGGACTATTAAATAATACGAACAACTTACTTTCGCCTAACCACAAGTTAAACTGACAAGAACAAACTTCTGCTTAACTATAAGTTAAATAGCCTGCTAGCTTTGCCTGACTGATGCATTTTTAAAATTGTAACAAACGAGGAACTTTGTTTTGCTAGAAGCAATTTTAGTAAACTAATGTGACAAAAGTACAAGTAGTTTTTAATTAAATGTGCAAGCATATGCCAGCCTATATTTAAGTGTGTGCGTGTGTTTTTCTGTGATTGTGATTATTATTAAACATCCAAAGGTGCCTCTTTTTTTTCTACGCTTCGCTGACGCACATTTTAATAACAGCCCAAGGCTGTTGTTGTTGTCGATATTGTTGTTGTATCTATTGTCGATTGTCAACGTGTCGCGTCATCAGATTTACGCACCACTTGCTTCCCGGCTTTATTTCGTGTCTTCTCTGTGTGTGTGTGCGTGCCTCTCTTTACATATAGACATTTTATGCCACTGTTAGAAAAACCAAAAAATTTACATATTTTTATGCTGTTCAATTTAACTAGAATTTGTTTACTCGCACTTGATGGCAGCTCGTGTTGGATGAAGGGAAAATGGAATCGAAGCAAAAGAAATTGTGCAGAATTGACGGCGCGCTGTTGTTGTGCCTCATCTGTATACAATTCAATTGATTTTCAGAAGCTCAATTGTTTCAGCCTGACATACAATGGATACTGTAAATACAAGTTCGACCTACTTGATCTACATCAAAATACCCTGCATGCAAAATAATTTGACAGGCTTACACTGGAATGCAAAGGGACATTGCCGCTATATACAAATATATTTATTTAATCGCTTCGTTTGAAATGAAAGAAACTTCTGCAAGGGTCTCAAAATGGATGCCCCGAAATTACACAACAATTCTCATATCATCAGCTTTTGCCCTGTCCAGAAACTGAAAAGAATGTCATTGCGATTTCCGTTCTTTCGCTAGATTGACTAGGCTGGGGTTTTTTTTTTTCAAAGTAAAATATAAATGTAGGGTATACAAGTGAGAGCCTACATTAAAGGCATTGCTCGGGTATTTATTCAGCAAGCGCAAAAATGTTTCGTTCTTGGCCCTATCTGTGCCAATCAGTTTGAATTGCTTTTTGCTGCCACTTAAGTGGCACACAGTTTACAATTTACAACTTACAGTTGCAGCTGCACTGCAGCCGCACTTATATTTTGTTTTTCTTGTTGTTGCTGTTGCTGTGCTTGTTGCAGTTGCTGCTGGCCACACGCTCATTTAACAGCGCTTCCACTCAAAGTTGTGCGTAATTTTTCAGCTGGTTTGCGTTTACTTCCGTTGCAGGAACTTTGCTTGGATTTAGCTGCACTTCGTTTGCCCCAAGTGTTTCCTCTCAATTGTTTTTCATGTCTCCGGGTGCCTGGGTGCTTCGTTGCTTCAGTGCTTCGGTTGCCCGCCCGGAGTGCGGTGAATGTGAATGTTTTATTGTTGTTGCTGCTGGCCCAAGTCGGCCACTTGTATTAGCGTAATTCCAGTGCTCATCTGGCTTATGTAGCAGCTAAAATGTTTCAGTCACTCGCCCACTGGCAACCAGTGTCAGTCACAGTGATTGTGATTGCGGGTGGCTCTGGCTGTGGTTCTTGAAGTTCATTAATTTTTATGGCACAAGTTGAACAGAAGTGAAGTCAACTTCGAGATGTGACGGCTCTCCAATGCAAATCACAGGTCGCAGCGTCTGCTCGGGTCCCTTTTGTTGCAGGGTAATAAAAAATAATCATTTTTTGAAGAGTTTTCATTTCTAAATACATATATGCTTGTTGCTCGCAACCGTTGCTGGTGCTCCTGCAAGCCACTGCCTGTTGGGCTTGGGCCGCGCCACTTCTATAAATTATTATATTTTTTTTTTCTTATCTAGGAATCGTACTCGTACATATAATGCTTGTGGCAATGGGCATAAGAGTCAGCAACAGCATAAAACTCACATAAATGCGAGAATGATAGATCGTAGCTAACAAAATGCACAAGTGAAATATACGAGTACCTGCAGCACAGCAACATTGCGTATACGTAATGTATGTAGCCATTTCGCAGAATGCAAGACTAAGTCGGTGCTCAGCACTGGCAGGCATTAAGAGCAGGCAGTCTGCTTTAAAAAATACTTAATGAATGCAAAGAAAGAATTGGCATGGCAATAACATTTGCATTGCAGAGCGGCCAAAATTTTAGTCAACACGAAGACACGTTATAAACCACTTCAAATCGGTGGGCTTAGGGTGAATATCTAGAAATATGCAAGATTTTTTTAATAAAGTTGATTTACGGTAGAATCTTATTAAAATATGTGCCTTTGATATCAAGCGACAGATTAATATTAACCAACGAATGTTTAAAGTTTTGACTTATTATTTAAAAAACGCTTCTTTTAAACTAAAAACTCTAAATCAGTTAAGTACGTACTATATATTTTTATAAAATATTGCTTACAGATAGGTTATAGAACAATTCCTTCAAGCTTGAGCTTACCTTATATTTAACATAAATTGCATAACATTTACCGTAAATGCAAGTTAAGACACGAAGGGTGCAGGAATGGTAAGGCTAATTAAATGATTTAGGCTTTCTTTAAGATCATCATTTCACTCGGAACCAAAGCGATTTGTTGCCATTCGCTCAACAATTCATTATTTATAGTTGATTATTTAATTCTTTAAATGAATGAGAGAGAGAAAGGGTTCTTAAACTGATTCTGTTTTTGTGTTTTATATTTCATCTTTGATTTGAATTTCCAAAAGAGATGTTTTTGTGTTAAGTTATCATTTGCCTAGCGTGAGCAATACATATATATTTGGTTTTTGTGTGTTATTGTTTTTAGAATTGAACACATAAAATTTGTCATTTTAATTAAATTGCCAATTCAATTATTAACTATTTGCTATAATAATATGGTACCCAAAAATCTCTTTTGAATAGTCTTCATTTAATACTTTTCTTGTGTGTATATTCTTATTTATGGCAACTAATAAAGATCAAAACATAATTTTATCGAAGCGATGCCTTGCAACAGTAATCGGGCGTTAAAGTGTTGCCCAGTTTACAGCTGTAGTTTTGCAGCAAGATAACGATATAAAACTCAAAATGCTAGTTGTACCTTTGACTGCGACAGCGACACGAAACAAATGTCGCTCAATTGCAATAAAAGCAACAACAACAAACATACGAAGCTGGCGAGGGACAAGAAAGGATAAAAGACAAA